TTTACATAAAATGTCCAGAAAACATAAATGCATGGAAGCAGGAGTAATGGTGACCTCAGGCTGGAAGTGGGAATGGGGAAATAGGCACAAGGGATCTTTTTAGGTCTTGCAAATATTCTAAATTCTGACTGTGATTACAGTTGCTCAACTTTGTAAGTTTGCTAAAAAAAAAAAATCATTGAAATGGGTGAATTTTATACATAAAATACATCTCAATGAAGCTGTTTTTAAAAAAAAAAAAAGAAAAAGAAAAATCACCATCATCAGATACAATCTTTGCAAAGCTCCACTCCTGATTAGAGAACTGCAGTGTTGCCTCCAGGGTAACATGTAAACAGCCTTCCCTGGCATTCAGGTCCCGTTATCTGTCTGGCCTCATCACCTGGTCAGCTGTTCTCCCACATCCCAGCCCATGTGGCTGCCATGCACACAAGTTATGGAGTTGGAACGTCTGAGCTTCCAACTCTACCACTAACTCACTGTGACCTTGGGATACTTCCCCTCTTGAACCTGTTTCCTCGCCTCTGAGATGGAGATGATATCTCACAAGGTCAGCAAGGGAATATCTGAGATAGTGCTCTTAAAACACTCAGCAAAGAGTAAATATGTGCACATTGCCTGGCTGGCTCAGGCACATCTTCAAAGTCACCTCCTCAGAGCAGCATAAGCTCACTATCCCTATTAGCAGGTGGCCCCATTACTCTTTATGTTTCCTTCATAGCACTTGCAGTTCTTTTATTCCTTTGCCTTTTTTCTTTCTTTCTTTTGGTCTGTCCTCCCTACTGGGCTGAGGTCTCCATGAAGGCAGGGACCTTATGCTTTGTCCCTTTGTCTCTGCAAACCCAGGCCCTATGTCTGACAATCACACATTCACAGTAAGCATTTTACTGAGGTGATGGATAAATGATAGCCATGAGTACAATGCTCAGCATGTGGCTTCTCTGGTGTTGGCATGTTTGGGAACTGTTTCTCGTGTACCTTACTGCATCCTCCTTGATCTTCCCCTCAGCAGCAGCCCAGACTGACCTCACAGGAGCAATAAATGATGGTCAAGATGATGAAGGGTGTAAATGAGCCTGGGAACACACCTGAAGCCGCAGGCTGGGGAAGCGACTAGGGAAGAGCCACCTAGTGGTTGGAAGGGAAAAGGCCGAAGACAGTGAGGAGTCTGGAAATTGAGGAGCAACCAATTTCAGTTGAATCACCAAAGATGGCTGCTCACACTGGGCAGAGAAAAGGACACATATAGGACATTATTGCCACATGTGTGCCTTCTTTTCTTATTGGAGGATGAGGTTAAATAATACTTGTTGAAATGAAATCTTATGTATTTCACACATGCTTGCTCTGAAAACAAGTTGCATATAATTGCAGCATTTTGTATTAATTAAATTTCTTTTACCTTCCAAAAAAATAGGGCTTGAACTATGTAAATTTATGCAAATAAGTGTGCAAACTAGTTAAGGCCCTAGCATTTCATTTGAAGGGAACTAGAGCACTTTCCAGGCCCAGGCCCAGGGGATTAAATATAAGTGGTCTTTATGAATATTTAACTTTCTCTGAAGGAGCTGGGGCAGATATTCTTCTTTGGCATCTACCCTCTATTAAATTAACTTCTTGTTTTTTATCCAACAATCTTGTCTACTGATTTTTACTCGCCTGCCTAAAGACAAAGTGAACTCCCCAACCCTCAAGTAACTTTGCGAACAAAGTCACTACACAAAAACACTTCATTGCTGTCACCTCCTTTTCTCCGATCTCCAGGAACATAAGGAAGAGGAGGGAAGGAGGGGAGGGGGCTGTCATGGCATGCACCCCACAATGTGACTCAGGACTAGTCATTTATTCTCTCTAATGAGTTTGCCCATCAGGCAACCTATCCCCAGAGCTTCCTCTCATTTTAACAGCCTCTGGTGGAACTAAGTGAGGCCCCAGCACCTAGCAGGACAGGCGGAGGCTTCATCTCAGAATTTTCTTATTGTCTTGCATATCAGTGGTGGGGAAGGAGCTGGAGTAGTGAGAAAAGGCTGCTTTCTGCACCCAAAAGATCTGGATAAAAGTTCCAGAAGTTACTCAGGTAACGCCTTGGACAAATTCCTTAACCTCTCTAAGCCTGATTCTCCATCTTTAAAGAGAATTTATACCATGCAGATATGTCAAGAAAACTAGAAATAAAATGTACCTGTCTGATATGACGCCCAAAAAGTTGATGTTCCTCTGTCAACTTAAAGGAAATCATTTCTTAAGGGAGTCCCCCAAACCTTAGAAAACTCCCACTGACCTAACTTTCCAACATTCCCCAAACCAGGATGCCAGGTGCCAAAGGTGGGAGAGCATCCAACAGAGCCAAGGCCAAGGGTATCTTTCTAAATTTCATTTCTGGCTCCTGCCTCTCCATCTTCCAACACCAACCTCCTTTTGCCTTTGGCAGGAGCCAGGTTAAGGTTGGATAACACCAGCAGGCACCAAATGTGTTCGCTAAGTACTATGCCAGGCAGAGTAGAGGCCCCCACTCTCCTATAAAAACACTCTGTACCTCTGTACTTCCTCTAAACACTTCAACACACATCTTCATTTCATCATAGGCAGCACCTAGGATTTCACACCCTCCAGCCCCCCCCCCTTTTTTTTTAATGTGGTGATTAAGACTCAAAAGAGAAGTTGTTCACCCAAGGTCACTCTGCAAATGAGCATCTTGCCCAGCAGCGAGGCCTCCTGATGTCTTTTTCTAAACCACCTCCCTCCCTAACTAACTCGCCTGCACCCAGCTCTGTACATTCCATTTAAACCCGGTCTCTGTTTCACTGAGTTCATCCATTCAATCACTCAACATTTACAAAGCACCACTTTTTGCCAGACACAGGTGTAGGAGGAAGTATACAGCATTCAATGAACAGACCCGAGTTGCCTACTTCAATCCAGTTCTACCGCTTGTCACCTAGGTGATCCTGGATAAGTTACTTCGTCTCTCAGTGCCTCAATCATCTTTAGACTATAAAATTAGAATTCCACATCTCTCACAGGGCAGTTGAAAATTAAATGAGAGGACACCTATGTATCCCATGCCCCCAATAAGCATTCAAATATGAGCTACTTTTATTAATCAGACAAAAGCCTTAGCCTCAAAAAGCTTATCCTGTACTGGGAAACACAATAAACAAGTAAATTATTAATAGAAGTTTCAAATGGTGATAAGCACTATGAAAAAAACTAGATGTGTGACAGTGTGGGTGGGAAGGGACTTAGATTAAGTGGTGAGGGAAGGATACTCAGATATTTTAACTATAACAAGGGTGATAAGAGCTGGACATAAGAAAAGCTGGGTGGGGGGGAGGGAGTGGGGTTGGGATAGGACCTATAAAAGAAGCATTAACCAGAACCATGATGTAGCCAGCAGACTTCATAGGAAAGCACGCAGTGACACACATTAAATCCAAGGGGCTGAAACAGAGACTGGACTGCCTCACCTTGGCAACAGACGATGTAGATCTGGAGGGAAATGAAAGCATCTGGTACAATGGCAAGGTGGTTGACAACACCATGTCTGGAAGCTACAGTCACAGCATCCAGAAGAGTCTGGCTTTTGCAAACATCCCTATGGAGCTCAGTAAGGTAGGACAAGTGGAAGTTGAACTATTAGGCAAACACTGCCCTGCAATCATCATACAAGAATCCTTGGTATTGACAGAACCAACCAGAAACCGACTTCAGAAAAATGTTGGAAAGGACACAATTTGAAAAAGACCCTCAGCAGTCAACTGAATTATGGTTGCTATATGACTATACTCAAAATTGTAACTGATTTGCGGGGAAATAGGGAAAACCAAGGATTCATTTAAAAATCATCAAAATCTAGATTTAGAATCTTAAAACCTGTTCTCTCAGCAAGATACATTAATAAATTAGTGCTTTACATTGTTGTTTCAAATGAAGAAATTAGAAATGAATGTTTTTATGATCCTATATTGTTGCCTATAAATTCAATTGGTAAGACATTTAGGTGTTTGCTAATATACAATCATTATTACAACAGAATTAGAGGACATTATATAATTTTAGAAACATATGTATATGCTTATTACCTGAAAACAAATTAATAAATTATGTTTAAAAAAAAAAAAAAGACAAACAGCAAATGCAGAGGTCCTGTGCTTGGAGCAAGCTGACATCTTGCTGGGACAAGGAGGTCCTAAGGCTAGTGACTAGATGTGGGGGTGGGAGGTCAGACAGGTCATTGAAATCAGCAGCACAGCTTTGTAAAATAAGGTCATTCCTTTTCATCTTAAATGTGCTAGGCATTCATTAAAAACCTTGTTTAAGGCCTGGCCTGGTGGTCCAGTACATCAGAAGGTTGCGGGCTCCCGCATAGGAAAGAGGCAACCGATCATGTTTCTTTCTCACACTTCACACCGAGGTCTCCCCTGCACACACACCTCTCTCTCTTTAAAAATCAATAAACATGTCCTCCAATGAGGATTTTTAAAAATGGGAAGGGGGGGTGGGGACCCTTGCTTGGAATTTTAAGCAAGGGAAGGGTATATGATTTGAATTACATCTTCTAAAGTGCCCCTTTGGCTGCAATGTTGAGGGGCTGTTGCAGTTGTCCAGGGTTGGCAGCAGCATCTCCTGTACACACAGGACGCCTACACTTGGTGTGCGGTGGAAGATTCAGGTCCGTGACAGTTAAGTCACCTGGGCTGGAATGTGGCCTCACCATCTCTCTGGCTCTCCAATTTCCTCCCGCAGTGGAGAAGCCTGAAGGTAGCCACTCCCTGCGCGGGGACCCTGAGCATTTTCCTAGCCTCACCTTCCCCGTTTACTGGGCGGAGAAAAAGATGCTCACCACCGGAGTAGGCAGTGCTCCACAAGCGGGGCGCGCGCGCTCGCTCTCGTTGCGCACCTCCCCATAGTACGGCCCGGCCTCCGCACCCTCGGACGCCCTCCTCACCCGCCCTGCCCCGGCCGCGCTCGCTCCTCTCGCCCACCGGCGACCCGCTCACCCGGATGCCCTGTAGCACCCGGACCCGCTCCTCCTCGTCCATGCCGAAGGACACCCTGCGGCCCTCGCTGCTCTCGGTGCCCCCCATAGCAGGAGGCGGGCAGGCAGGAGGGCACGCGACCCGGCTCCAGAGCAACCAGTCAGACGCTGAACTGTCGCTTCCGGGACTCGGGCTGCTTTGGCGCAAGTCAACAAAATTACGTTTTATTGGACGCTGCTGGAAGCTCGGCCAATCATGTGGCGTGGGCCCGCGCTGTATTGTGGGAATTGTAGTCCTGTGGGCCTGTCCTGTCCTGTAACCCGGGTGTACGGGGAGGCGTGGGGCGTGGAAAACGCGTTGAAAGGGAAGCCACGGGTGCCTACGCGAGGAGAGCCTCCAATGGCACGGTAAGTGGACAATGCTCGCTTTGGAAAGGTCGCCCTTGAAGAAGAGCTGAGAGTGATGTTCTGAGACCAGGAAACCACCGAGGGGCCTGAACTAAACTTGAGAAGGAATTTGTTACGGTTCTCGGCTTGGTTCATTCAGCAAACTGATACTGAACCCCAGGCAAGCATTGACCCAGGCGCGGGGAATACAGTGACTAACAGACGGGTCCTGCCTCCCTGCTTTTTACATATAATACTAGTAGAAGAAACAAATGAAAAGACAGACAAGCATGTAAATAAACTTGCTAACCACTGTAATAAATGCCATGAAAAAAATTCAAAGGAGTCCTCCTCCTTTAATTTAAGAGGCCAGAGCAACCTCTCTGAGGAAGAAACATTTGAATTGAGACCTGAGGTCTAGTAGGGAGTTAGCCAGGAGAAGATGTGGAAAGAGCTTTGCTGCGGGCCAACTAGTGCAAAGGCCTCGAGTCAGGAAAGACCTTGCCACATTCAAGAAAGTAAGAAGGTCTAGCTGCATGAATGGAAAGTGAGAAGCAAGCAGAGGAGAGCCAGAGATAAGGAGGTAGACCAGGAGGGCCTTATGGTCCAAGGTCAGAGTTGTATTCTTAGGAGGGCAGTGAATGGTCATAAGCATTTAGGAGACATTATCCAAGGAGCCTACATACCATGCATTGAGCACAGTGTGTTTGCTTCTCACACAGGCCATATGTGTAACGAAGGAACAGAATTGATTGCTATTCACAGCCACAGCAACCATGAATGAAGCCCCCTCTTGTTCATCTGAATTGCTGAATAGCTTTGATTTGCCAAAGTGGGCCTGGAGTTAAGTTTGGAATCTAGAACTAGGGAAGACTGAATTGCTACATGAAATAGCAAGGGTAATTTGGAGCTCCGTTTGGCAACCAGGAAAGAAAGGAGTGAGGAGGAGAGAATAAATGAGAGAGACCAGTGAGACACTCTGACATGAGAATAGCTTGGGTGAAGGAGACAGTGAACATTCCAGATGTGCAGCTGGGGAGGATTTTTATGGACAAGGACATATGCTAGTTTTATTCAAAATAATTTGATTTGCACATCTCCCTCCATCCCTTCTGCCCTCCATTTCTTTTCTATAAGCAGAGACTGGGTAGGGGATTCTGGACCAAGTAGTTTATTGGGGGAGTGCCTCAGGAGAAAAAAAAGTGAGGGAACAGAATAAGCTAAGTAAAGATGGAGTCAAAGCTAGAGACTGGCTTTAGCTTGATCCCACAGAGTGTTCAGGAGCACAAATTATGGCCTTAAATAGTTTCATTGTGAGGCAAGGGGACCAGCCTTATCTCCCACATGTCAGTCATTCGAAGCCCAGGACAATTTCCCCAGAGAGTTGCCAACATCCATACCAGTTAGGGTATGGCTTCACCAGCCAATAAAAATCATGGGTGGGGCACTTTTGGCACCCTCTACATGTTCCCCATATTTTTCAAGGCCTTCTGAATCCCCAAGCATCATCTATGACTGTGAAGGTATTATCATCTTAATTAGCTAGTTAATATTAATAAAGGAATGAGAGCAAAGGAGATGCCAGACATTACTAGCATGGTCATCTTGGCAGCTTTACCAGGAAGCTACAGCTTCACACTCCCAGGGAACCACTGGTCCATTCCCTGCAGATCACTGGGGGAAAAGATTGAATAAAGGGGGAGATGGGCACATGTGCAGTAAAGTCAGGGTGATGTAGGGAAGGTTCTTGTCTGTCAATCTAGTCAGGGAAAAGGTCATTGGCTAGGAGTGTGGAGCCACTGCAAGCACATGAAATCTTAAAGAGTTAATTGATTAGTTTGGAGAAGCTCCTGGTTAAAAATTTCCAGACAAAGAGTTCCCTCACTCTTGTTCTTGCTTACTCACGCTTGATCTCTCTTGCTCGGTGACCGAATTTGCCTGTGTGCTCACTTATTCTCTCTCCATAGCCATGTGGCCTTAGCAGCAGCATGATCCATGGCCATGCAGACCGCACACACAATGGAGTGCAAGTGGGAACAGAAGCTAAATTTGCCAGACGCTGGACTGTACTATACTTTAATATGGACAAAAAATCTGGGCAGTGGCCTTATTCTGGCCCTACTGAAGACAAGATGAGACCTTGGAGGAGAACACCCTTAATTTTACAATAAAGCTTTCCACAAAACCCCATCCTCCCATAGGGACCTCAGGCAATTATTTTCCTCACAACACTCTAAGAACTCCACTTCTACTGATAACAAATGAGGGGTTGTAAAACTTGAAGGAAAAGATAGACTTCACTTCTGGGCCAGATGATAAAATTATTAACACACAGCTAATTCAGGAAAACAAGAATCAGAGCCATAGGTGGCCATGAGACTGTGTGCCCCACCACCACCACCATCTGCAAAATCCTGGGACAAAATTGGAATTCCACAAGACTTAGCATGGGGGTTGCAATGACAACAGCATAGCTAAGTCTCATGAAAACACAACAAATTCTGTGTTCCTATTTCACAGATAAGAAAACCGAGTTGCAAACAGGCGAAGATAATGTGACATACGTGCAAACAAAGTAAGATTGAGGATTAAATAAAGGTAGTGGCATAGAAAGGATGGGAAGGGAAATTATTAATTTTTTAGCACCTTCTCTGTGTCAGGCACACATTGTTTTTCATGCAGTCAATTCATGACCAATTCATTTAGTCTTGGAAATCATCCTGAGAGAGTTATCACCCCATTCTAAAGTCCAGGAAACTGAGGCTTTGGGGAGATAAGTGTGGCAGGCCCACTAGTTGCTGGCTAGTAACCATTTGCTCCTTTCATACAACAGAACCCCAATTTCCTTTGGTGTAACAAGGTACTTCGTTAAAAAATTGGCCTCTTAGGCTCCCACTGGCCAAACTTGGGACACTTTGAACATTAATAACACTTTGACAATGTGAGTTTATAACAATTACATTTTTTAATTCAATGGACCATGTAGAAAGGGAGAGAAAAAGAGAGAATAGAAAAAAAGGGAGAAAGTTCTTTACAAAAGAATGCCAGCAAATCAATGTGAGATTTAAAAATTGCCATTTTGGAAGATGCAAGATGGCTGCAGTCTAAGGAAGTTTCGTCCACTTGCTCCCAGCACTGGACAAGTTCTGTGTTCCGATTTCACAGACAAGAAAACTGAGTTGCAAACAGGACTTGTGGCTAACCTAAAGAGTATTTGACTTGGAAAACCAGCTGAAAAATAGCTGATTTGAAATTCTCCTGCTGGGAGCTCCAAGAGGAGACAGGAGAAAATGGGGAGTGGGTGAGCGGAAGAAACAAAAATCTAAAACTAAAGAAAAAGAACGGATTCAAAAAGAAAGGAGACTCACAGATAAACATATTCAGAAAAGAGACATCCAGAAAAGATGAAAAATAGATGCATATCTGATCACAGAGAGCGGGGGAGAGAGATAGTTTGAGGGAGAGAGGAATAAGGAAGAGGGAAGAGAGAAGAGGCCTTAAAGCAAAAGAAACCAGCATCAAATGAAAAGGGAACCCACTGGATGGGAGAACATTTTTGCTAACGATACATCTGATAAGGGGTTAACTTCCAAAATATATAAAGAACTCATACAACTCAACAAAAGGTAGACAAACAATTAAAAAATGGACAGAGGACCTGAACAGACACTTCTCCAAAGAGGACATACAGATAGCCAAGAGACATATGAAAAAAAAAATGTACAAAATCACTAATCATCAGAGAGATGCAAATTAAAATGACAATGGGGTATCATGTCACACCTGCCAGAATGGCTACAGAGAAACAAAAGACACAAAGCCTTTGGGTCAACAAAACCCATCAATAAATCAACAAGTGCTGGTGAGGATGTGGAAAAAAGGGAACACATGTACATTGCTGGTGGGAATGCAGACTGGTGCAGCCACTATGGAAAACAGTGTGGAATTTCCTAAAAAAATTAAAAATGGAACTGCCTACATAGCTCTTCCTTGATTCTCCTTTCTCTTCCCCTTCCCAGCACCACTCCCCATTGCTCCAAAATAGTAATTCCCTTATAGTTGATTTGGTAGCCCCCATTAGGGAATTAGTTGTTGGATCCTTGGGAGGCAAAGGTAGATTGAGGTATCTTCCTATTTGGGGGCAGTAGTGGAGGAGGAAGCCAGGAAGTATGAAAATCCCTCCAAAGTGCCAAGGGTTGACCCAAGACAATAAGATCAGTTGACTGATCCAATATGCAGAAGTAGCCAAAAAGGGAAAACAGGGTGTGGGTGAAGAATAAGCATGAATGTGGCAGGGAGGTAAGGAAGTTTTCCACAGGTGGTTCCTGTGGCTGCTGTTGAGTGTTCATGTCTGCCCTTGATGGGCCATTGGGGGACCGAGAGCGGATGGGTTTTGTTGATCCAAAGGTTTCTGTGGGATGGATGAAACTTCCAGCCCCAGCCACACTACTACAGGATGGTTCCTGGAATCCCCCTTGTTGAACTCCCAAATTTCCCCTTACTGCTTTTTATAAGAAACAGGCTTTGTGTCTTTTGTTTCTCTGTGACAGATAAATACAGAATAATCCCAATTTTATACACTTTGTAAATGGAGAAACTTAAGATCTTCCTACAAGCCCAGCCTTGATATCTTCGCACTTAGAATTTCAGTCTCGTGAGTGTTATAAACATCTTGTCTGCCAGACCTAAGCAATTCACATATTCCCTGGCTGGTTGAGCTTTCTTCCCTGAGTCTATAGATATTCTTCATCACAACTTGACAGAAGAGAGGTGCTTTGAGGTGTTTTAAACGTTTTCTGTCTACAGGTTTGTTGCCCATTACAATCATCTGTCAGATTCATAAAGCAGTAGTATGTACTCATTCCTGTTGGTTGATTTTATTTAGACACTAATTCTTGTAGCTGTTAAAAAAGGAAGAAAGGCAAAGGCGGAGAGGAGAACACTTAGAAAATACTCATTCATCACAGTTAAAGGACAAGAAGCACACGTAATGTTGCAAGATAAATAAATATAGAAATAAAACGCATGAAGCTTCTAATAATCAACAATTATTATTCTCCCAAATTAGATACTGGAACTTGCAGAAACCAGTCGCATCTTGAATAACTATTACTCTACATCTTTTACCAAGAGATGACACTTCTATGGTTGAGGAATAAATACATTCTTGTAGGTGAAATGATTCCTGCAAGTGAACAGGAACCAAATCAGAGAGGCCAATGTGCTGGTTCCAGTTTTATGAGGCCAGTTCCTTGGAGAAGAGATACATCAGAGCCTCTGAGATGGAATCCTGGGTGATTCCTCCCATCCCAGGAACACTGCCAGCGCTGTCACCTCCTGGTCACGTCCCTGAGACAGTCATTCCAGTGAAATGGGATGGCTGTACTTAGATATTTCACAGCTGGAAAACAGCTAAAGCTGCAGCAGGAAAGATGTAGCCTCAAAGAAATCATCAATTTTGTTCCCTCTTTTCCTCTGAACACTTTCTACAACCAGGGAGCATCACTCCAGCTCCTACATGCTGGAAGGACACACATGCATTCAAGGAGAGAGTCAGGGCCTGAGATAGAAGGAGGAGCTGAGACCAAAGAGATGACTGTGCAAATCACACCCCAAAGTCCCTTATCCCGCACCCTTGCCATGGTTGAGTTTCTGCTGTTTCATTTCATTCCTACGACTCGTGAGTGTCAACCATGCGCTAGCACGCACTCCGCACTGATGACACAGTGGTGAACACCTAGGTGCTCCCTGCCCTTGCAGAGCTTCCAGTTTTCGGGGGAAGGTGCCAGACATTAATCAGAAAATCACACAAATGTAGCACTACAAACTGGTAAGTGTAAAGGCTCTGGGAAGTATAACAGTCTGGGCTGGTAGGAGCACACGTTCCCAAGCTGTCTGCAAAGGGAAAGGCCAACAGGTCCTGGACCTGGCTCTCGGAGGTCACGATGCCTCCTTGCCCAGACCTCCAGGAAGAGGGGCCATCCAATGCTGGTGGCCTCTGTTTGCGGGCTGTGGAAGCGGTCCCAAACTACCTCCAGAAGGCATCCTTCTCCTTGCCTCCCAGCCCCCTCTCACCTGCCTCCCTCCAGTGTCTCCCCCTGCACACCACCCTGTGATTACTTCCATTCTGCATCCCCCTTGGCCACTCACTAAGACGTGGGCTCCAGCAAGTCAGAGCTTTTCTGTGAAATGGGGATAATCACAGTAGCTCCGAGAGAATCAGAGGCCTCCTGTGAGGTTTCAGTGAGTCAGCATCTGCAAAGCTGACAGCGAAGCTTATATCCTCCCCTCCGTAGAACAATGCCTTTAGCCCTTTCTGCTCTTCACAACTATCAATATGCCTTCCTTTCCAGGATGGGGCTCTCAGTAGTTGGCCCAGGACATTCCTTAGATAAGGGTGCCTCTCCACTTCCTTTTTATCAGTGTATCCACACCAGGCTTTCCTGGCCTGGCCTTCGTGCTTGTATGCGTTACCTCAGTGGATCCAGGTCAGGCTCCCCATATACGTAGTTTAATTGGAAAATAAGGCCTGAGTGTCGGAGTCACTGAGTCGGCAGATGCTCTGTGGGTGCAGCCTCTCAGTGGGCAAGAGACACCCAGGTGTGCGGGGCTTCAGGCAACCAGGACACACCTGCGTGGGAGCCTGTAGCTGCCTGACTCAACCAGCAGAATGCAGTCTGTCCCCACTGCTCCTCCGCAAGTGGGTTTGGGCTCTGGGGCGTGCTTGGAACACACTGAATTCACACCAAAATCCTTTATCAATGCCAGGCCTGGGCCCTGCTGTGGGAGAGGCAGAGAGGCAACTGGGGCCTTGTGGCAGAGGAAGAACCCCGCCACCTTAGCTCTAGGGGATCCCAGGGAACTGGGAAGACAGTGATGGAGAGTCTGCATGTGAAAGCCCACTGCACTGAGTGCTGGAGTCTGAACACAAAGAGCTCAGCCAGTCCACCCAGATAGTGCAACACTTTCTGCTTTAGTCTCCCACTTGCTCCAGTTGACAGAGATTCTGCACCTCAGGCTTGGAATCTTGCTGCCCAAATTATTCAAGAACTCCAAGGGCTATGCAGAGACAGTGGCTCCCACCTGGGCTTGAGGTTGACAGCTGTTTGAATGATGGTCATGATACATTAAAAATAATATTTTTACTAGATTTGGGGGTGATTATTATAGTTAGTGTTATCTTTTCTACTTTTATGTGTTGCTTGAATTTTTATGCAGAAAAGTAGTGAGCATATTTTATTTTTGCTAAATTAATATTTATTTTAAAAAACAATGAAGAGATAAATGAATTAAATGTACACTTAAGGAATAGGAAAAAGTGAAAAATGAACTCTAGGAAAAAGCAAAGGCAAAAGTAGTTCCTCATTATATGGACCTCTTTATAGGTTTCTTGCTGGAGGGGGACCATCCTTAGCTGAGAAAGCAGAAAAGGCAGTAATGGGTTTAACAAGGATTCAGAGGGATCAGATCAGGAGATGACACCCTTAGAAGGACCAGGCCAGGCCATTCCTGCTGGTCCTGTGGTTGAGCCCCTCTCTGTAGTGGGATTTCATTCATTCATTGCAGAGCAGGGGGCTGTAAATCACCATGACCAAGATGAACTCTGAGATCCTCCACCTACCCATCCACCCAAATAATGGATACAGGATTCCTGTCTGGCACAGATGATTTCGGGGTCTGTGTCTTAGAGAAGACTCCAGAATTCTATGTATTGGGTAGGGACTTAGAGATAGCAATCTAGGAAACTAATTTTGTGATAGGGAGCATAGTATTTTTATTTAGTTTTTGGGAAATACACTTTTAAAAATATCATTATTCACAATTTCCGTAAGATTCAGACATCCTCGTTGAAGACTATTTTTAAGGCTGGTGGAGATTACAAGGCGTGGAAAGTCCTCCACAGAGGGCACCCGTGGGCGGATGCAAAGGACATCCATGGGCGGCCTTGGGATGATGACAGGGATAATGAGGGTATACGGAGCACCCAACCATTTTTTACATTTTTAATATTTTTATTGATTTTAAAAAATTTGATTTGAGAGAGAGGAGAGTGGAAGAGAGGGAGACACACACACACACACACACGGATGGGAGATCGAGCCTACAGGACTGGGCCCAACCTACAAAGCAGGTGCGTGCCTTTCCTTGGGAATCGAACCGGGGGACCGTCTAACGGTAACCTCTACTCAGAGCCCCACGGGCCATAGCCCCACCCACTTTCCAAGTGTAGGTGACGCCCGCACATTGGCCTAGTTCGCATGC